AGTATTTCATTGATCTTAATCGTTGCTTTTGCTTTAAGTCGAGATATGAATTTAAAAAGGCCGTCATAAAATATTTGTCTGAGCTGCGGTGAGGGTGGGTTCGTTGGTTGTGGCAATGTTCGATGTGTTTAAACTGGTCAGTTGGTGGTTCTGGTCAAAAGCTGTTTAAGGTATTTAGCTTAATCCATCTATATTGTTATATATCTATAGTTTTTCTTTTTTTTTCCGGGCTGCGTCGAGGAGTGGATCGTGACTATGTTACGAGCCAAACGCAGTCCATTTGGTTGCAACCCCGTTCTATTGTAATATATATTGTTTTTGTAATTTTTTTTTGTTTATTTTCTTTCTGGTATTATATATGTAAAGTATGTGGGTTGTGCCAATAAATATTATTATTATTATTATATTTTGTTAGAAAGTTGAAAGATTTTGAGAGCATGTGATTGATATAGGAATTGATAGAAATGAAGTTGCATTGGTACCTACTGGAATAGGCTGTTGAAGGAGAATCTTGATAATTGGTGAAAAATTAGCTCTAATCTTGTTTGCTAACATTTAAAGTCTCTTCATCGGACTCCATTGTAATGAAGACTGTTTTCCCAGAAATTTCATTTTTATGTATCTTTATAGTTAGTGTTACATGTAAATGTTGCGAGGGTAAATTTAATGATGCTAAAACTATACACTGTTTTTTTGATTTGCGATAATGATGTTGCAAACACTTGTGTTGATTTGCAAACATCTGTAGCAAAAATATTGCCATTTAAACCAAATATAAAGTGAAACGGCAATGATTATGCTGGAAATTATAGCTTTTTCAGTGTCTTTAAAGCAAGTATAGTACGATCTGCGCGGTGACGCCAGATTCATTACCTATTCAAAATGAAGTCAAATACTTGGGTTGGGTTTATGAATAGAAACTCACAACTCAGCCTAGACAATAAGTTGTTTATATATGTTACAGTTAAAGCATTCATTCCGTGAATGTACACATTGTCTAGTCAATGCATGCATTAACTAATTTATCTAGTTAATGTGTATACAAAATACGAAATGTAAACTGTTACTAGTTGATGTATACAATTACTAATGACGCCCAGTTAAAGCTTAAAGTACGTTTACTAGTATATTACAAAACGAAACCCAACCCAACCCAAAAAATGGTTACTACTATACTTACTTACTTACCACCTGCATCATATGCAATCCCTTGCATTAAAAAAAATTTACTACCATCTGCTAGCAAATGCATACACTGCCTAGTTTATGTACACATTCACTAGTAAATGCATACACTCTATGACTGATAAATACTTTCACTAAAATGTTACGTTAATGTATACATTGATTGACTAATTTGTACATTAACTGAAATGCGCGTTTTATGACATATATAGTGCCATACTAAAACCTGTTTGGGAATACAGTATTCAATTGTGAGGCACTGCTAGCGAATCAAATATTTTACAGATGCAGCGATTTTAGTCTAAAGATCTAAATAAAGAACTTTCATTTGTTATACTATATAAAAATCTTATTATTTGTCTTAATAATATGCATTAATATGGTTTTCTTTCGGACCTACTGTTGAGCGGGTTCCTACTGTGTTATTATTGTTATTATTTTTCTTTTTTCTATAGATTACAGCAATAAAAGGAAAATAAAAAAAAGTATATTTTATTTCTTATTATGCAGTTATTTATATTTAAAGGTTTTGAACAAATTTTGTAAAGTTGTAAATTCTTCAACGTCAAATTTTGTTCAGCATGGAATAACAGTGAGCTTAATTTTTAATCATTTATACAAGTTTCCAAAGAGTGTCAACAATTTTGCAACATCATACACCTGTTTCGAGCAATTTGAGATGTATTTTCAATCATTTCGAATCACTCAAAATAGTAATGAACCAGTTCTCAATCATTTATAAAAGTTGCAATGACAACAATCTAGTTTTCACCTACATTATTATCTTTTGAATTGATTTCCGATTATTTAGACTTACATTTTGGACTACATGGTATAACACCGAAGTAATTTTCAATCATTTTGACAAGTTTCCAGCAATTTCAAACCCACTTGAAATAAATTGGTGATTGCGTTAAACTAATCCTTTTTAGTTGTATATTTTATTGCTATTTTAAATTTTGCGATTAAAAAGAAAATAATACTGTTATTATTAAATCACGAAACATTATCTTCAAACATTGCAATAGACAACTCGTAACAACAATTAAGCAATTTATTGCTCGGTTAATTTCCCCAATTGAATCCATTCACATTGATGAAATCCCAATAGAAGTTAAAGTGTTGTAACAACATTGGTCGATAAACTGTTACCAGTTTTACGCTTACAATGAGCACATCAACAATTATGGTTTGAACTTGGTGTTTACTAAACTAAACTGAACAAACACTTTAAAAGTTCATGTTGCTTTAAAAATATTTTAAAATATTTTCTAATATTTAATAAAATAATTATCAATAACTTATAATCATCAACTTGTTCATGTTTTAATAATTTATTCTATTTAAAGTTGAAATATTGACGTAGGAAGTTCACATTTCATTTATCGATTACACTTAAATATTTCATTTCGAATGTCGTACAATATGCCGTCAATTTAAAGTTCACAGCCTCGCTTACGGCTCCGTTTGGTGTTTGCACATCGGCAGGAAGCAATATCCATAAAAGTCGACAGCGTACTCGACCGACTCCATACATAACGCACCTCATATTTTTCACAAAATGCCACACTTGGCGAGATTTAATGGTTCGTGCGTCCTCGACTCGGTCTTCTCTTAATACAGACGGGAATTATTACTATACTTGTTCTCTATGTTAACGTTGGGAAACACTTCTAAAAGTGATCTACGACGGAATAAAATTAAAAGCATGCGAAAGGAAGGGTTTCGTTGAACTTTCCCTTTTATCGAAACCGACAAATCAACATGCTTTTATATTCGTGTAATTAAATCGTAAAAAACTATATAATTGTGTTTAATTAGAATTAATATTTTAAGTAAAGATCAAAGTAAAAGGCGGCTCTTGAATTTTTATTGAATAAAAATAAAACGGCTTATTAATATGCTTCACGCAATCGTAATCGTATTTAAAACACCAGCAAAAGTAAGACTCTTTAATTAAACATCGCGTCCGAATGAGGCAACTTAACGCAATGGCTTACAACCGTTAGCGGCTGATAAATATTCATTGACACGGAGATTTATTTCATAGTTGGAATCGTGCGTGGGCAAAATGCACGCAGAGAGTTGTAATCTGTCGGAGGTGTCCGGTGACATGCTCGCACCTGCAAGCTGAAAAGAACCACTTCGTAACCATTTAAACCGCAGACGATATGTTCTCGCGTGTCGTTCCGATTTCCTAGAAGCTATTCCGCAAAGTTGTCTGCATCCATCGCGTGATATACTTCCTTGCTCTCGATTTACATGAATTTTCTTGTCGAAGATGTGCCAAGTAATTAATATACGACCACAGAGAGGAATAGGGCTAATGGCGATCATTAAAAATCAATTAAGCATCAGTCGGTGAGGTGTACGTGTGCCGCCGTAACATGTGTTGCAACGAAAATTTTGCAATTTTAATTAGTTGTAGCGGCGCTGCTCTCGCCACGTAGCGGAAAAAATCGCCTTGTTGTTGTACTACTACAACACATTTACAACAAGGCTACATTTAATTCGAGATTTGATTACGATTTCGTGCATTACCGCTTTATCTTTTTTCTCAGAATTTATTTATTTAATTTTTTTTACAACGAATAAGGAAAAAACGTTTTTTCTTGTTTTCCGACCTTGGCATTCGTTAACTTTTAACACGTTAAAATTTATCGCATCGAATTCGAACTTACAGGAGCGACCGTAAAGTCTTTATATGTAGCCGCCGAAACAATAGCCCATTAAATGTGCCAAAACGCAGTTAGTATTCTGCGAGGAGTTACAGGTTTACGTTCCCGGAGTCCTAAATGTCGTTATCATTACCACAGGACGCGGGGTTAAATTGGAAAAGTAATCTTCAATACACGTATTAAATAATAAAACGGTTCGCCTTGTGCCAGGTTTTTTAATGTTCCTTTCTGACTTTGATAAATAAAAGTATTTATTGGGTTTTATAAGAAACGTAGGTGCATACAAATGTGGTCGGAATCGGGACTGCAAGAAATGGTCACTTTCTGCAATTAAACTTATTTCTTGTTATAAAGCTTTATTAATTTATAGAATCAATTTATTATTAAACCATGTAGAATCATAAGAACATTTTTTAAGATAGATACTTTTTAATTTAAATAAAAATAAAGCTTTAATAAACAATTAGTTACCATTTTTATTATCCTTGATGGAAATACAAGAACTGGTATAGTCGAGCAGTATTCCAAATCGCGCTATACGATGTATATATACATTAATGATTCTAAAAGTGGCGAGGTTAAGGTGTTTCAAGGCTAGCAGCGTAATATCAGCTGTTTACAGTTTAATAAATAGCTTGGGGCGAGAGCAAAACTGTTGTCGCGAATAAGAGCGTTTACAAATGTTATTATTATTGTTATTAGGGTTTCTTATTAGTATCAGTTCCAAAACCTGTATTAGTGTAGAGAAGCGTTATGTTCCGGCCTTGTATTGATCATTAACAGTTACAAATGACGTGCAATTTAATCTAATAACTTCAATTTATATCTTACTAATAATAAAGGTAATAAATGCGCTTAATATACGTGTCGTAAATAATGGCCATTTATAAATCGAAGGCTAATAGTTTTCAAATGTCAATTTGCCATTACTATTCATTGCTTTTCGCTGATGCAATGTCCTAAATTGGTTTTTGTAAGATTAAATTCTTTTGTGGGTATAATCGATCGATTGTTTGATATCAAATTTATAATTTATGTTATTGTTAGAAATAGTAAAAACTTTAAACAATTCACTTTAATTGAATTACAGAAAAGTAATATCAGCATCACATGGCCCTGGAAAAAATTCATACACATGGATTTCATATGTTTTCGCTAATGTCACATTGAAAACGAGGGGTGGCATCTACGTTAACATTTTTACGATGTGGTTATCTTGTATAAAATACGTGTTTGAGTTCTGTGTTTTCTGTGTTGTTCCAGAGTCCAACCTAAATTAACATAAGTGTTTCTGCCCCGTTTTAACTCGGATGTTCCGTAGAATGGGTCCGAACTGATGTTGAGTCATCGTTCGTAAATCCTTCGAAATGACGCTTCAGGCGGAAGGAAGGAAAGTTGTCAACATAGGCAACTACAGGCTCACCGGCAAAAGACTCGGAAAAGGCAACTTTGCCAGAGTTGAAGAGGCGGTCCATTCGGTGCTCAATACCAAGGTAATAACTGTCCGTCTTTCCCTTTGTTATATATATAAAACGTCACCGGCGACAGATAAATGCGAACGTACAATGCATGCGCCGATTCACTAGGTCCTAACCATTTTCGGTCAATTTAATTGGCTTTCTCGCAAATTTTATCGCGCGATTCTCAACGATAAATTTGAAATCCAAACGTTCACTGCCAACTGCGCCAGCCCTTTTCCTTTAGAGGCCATCACCGACGGACCTTTAACGATTTAAAACCAAAAGGATCACTATAAACGTGACATTCACTTAATTGGTTTTGACATCCGTCAATACAAAACATATTTCATTTCAAATTGCTTCAATCTCATATAATAACAAATTAGATTTATTCTAATAGATTCTGTTTTTGTAATTTCCAGCTCCTCCACCATATTCTTAAATTAACAAACATTGTTGTTTTAACTGATTATTATTATGACTTTTTGTTATACCTTATGCCAATATGGATTGATTAATAAAGTAGTGACATTGTTATTACGAAGAAAAAATCTACATTAATCGGGCGCCTCCACCATATTTATAATGCTTGGATTGTTTCAGTAATTTATTAAATTTGGATTACATTATGCTCATGTGATTTTTATGTTTAAGAATATGTAGAAATTACTTGCTTATTACTTAGAAGATTAACTGTTTTCCATGCCACTCGTGTTCATTCACGAGCGTTTGTGCTGACATTTCCTGCACAATTTAAAACACGTTTAAATACCTCAAATTAATAAAATTAATCTATAAGCTATACATTTTTTAGCAAATTGGTCTATTATAGATAACACAGATCTGCAAAAGAGGGGGATGTTGATTGTTGTTGAATGGGTGACGATCATTTCCGAAGTAATTTTCTTCGTGGAATCAGCATCCGAGTTCAGAATTGGACCATCATGTCAGGATATTGAGGTACTTGACGTTATTTACAAGAAAAATTGGTTTTTTGGATACTTTTGAAGGTATGTGTGAGCCGCTCAATATTATTTTGCTGTATTTTATCTATTTCATCTATAGTACTATTATCACCCTTCAAAATGCGCTCTCGTATGGTGCAGTACGATTTTTCCATTATAAGTTATGGCCATTTTAAAATGACATAATGAGTTGGAACCCAGTATATGGATCAGTACTGTCAGATGCGGGGGATACGCATTTAACTTTTATGGAATCCCTTTTGCATGTATTCCATAGATCATGTACCAAATCGCCTTTTGGCTCATTGCGTTGAAGTGACCAGCAATAGTCAATAGTTGAATAGCAATAGGAAACCAATATAAATGAGAGTATATTGGTTTCCTGACAATTTAGTTGATGTTAGCGAAGAGCAAGAAAGAGTGAAAGACCTATCAGGAGAAATAGTACACATCTATGCTAGCCGACTATGGCAAATAGTGCAACTTCACGCTCATGTTACAACTTAATTTTTTGAAGTTTTTTAGAATTAGCTTCATTATTGTCTAAGAAACCATTGACAACTTCTTTGAAGCTACTCCAAGCATCTCTTTAAAGAGATAAATAGTACAGCATCGTTCAATAGCGCATTTTGAAGAGCAAGGATAGTACTGAATGATGTAATAGATAGAAAAGAGCAAAAAATATTGTACATAACTTCAAAAGTAGCCAAAAAGCAATTTTTTTGTACATAACCTCAGATATCTCAAAATTCGGACTTGATGCTCCAATTCTGATTACGATTTTACGTAGAAAATTACTTCAGAAATGATTCTCAGCTGACCAACAACAAAATCGTAATAGTTCATTTCCGGTAGCAGATACCAAAGACGGCAAATCTGCTATACCACTCAGCTTTTCGTTCTACGGGTGCAGTATAATCTTGCAGGTTCGGCTAAGCTTCATACCATTCTCTCTGTTCATGTTAGTCTTAGCTATTAATTTCTATTATTACTTTGGTCATCCTCTGGTAGAATACCAAGCAAGTATTTTAGTTTAATTGAATTCTATGTTGTGATATTGTTCCGTATGGCAATGTTTTGCAACTGTAGATCGCTCGAATTCTTTGAGTCTAATATCTTGTTTGGTATTTGATAGTCGTTCCACACTGTCACGGTAGTCTGTAGACTCTTGTGATCTTTTAGAAGACGTGTCTGTTCAATTTGTTATTTCTTTTTTTGTTTGCTCGTTGAATGTCGTTCGATTCATTTCTCAAAATTTTTCTCACCACGTATCTTTGTAACATTATGGACATCCTCTAATGTGGGTGGTGGTATGATAGAGAGGTTTTTGTTCGTGTGCATTTTCTTCTGGTACATCCCGTGATTAACTTTTCCGTTTGCTGTTAGAGACTGCTGAACATATTCTGTATGACTGCGGCGCCAGAGGTCACCTAAAACACTTCAAAGCTAGCGAAGCTAAAAGATAACAGAAATGGACTTTGGAGCAACACTAAGGTTCATTAAGGATCTAGATCTGGTCTAAACCTTTGGAAGGCGTAAGTTAAAATAGATTTTATAGATTACGGTGACGAGAGCAACAAAAAAAAGGCGTTTCAACAATTTAATTTCCATAAAGAACTAGCGCGACAAGTTCATATCATCATCTATATCGATGGGAGAAACAGAATGTTGAATAGTAATTGTTAAGCATCCTCCTCATTACAGGGATCTCAATATTTATTGTAAGTGTAAACGCAAGACTCTTCAACACAACTCGATGTGAATACATTGTGTACCTAATACGACTATTGATAAATGACTCCTTCTTGAGCAAAAACGCCGACAAAGAACGAACGGTTGAGAATTAATTGGACAAAAAGTAAATTACGAATAACTAAGATATAATTGCTTAGAATTGCTATTATATCATAAACATGGAAATTTATGTTGGAAATACTCTAATGGGCCAATTGTGAAAAGCAATTCTCGCAGTGCTGTAGTTCAAAGGATGTGTCTATCAAAAAAGAGAACGAAGAGAAATGTTACGGTACAACAATATAAAATTATTAGATACATTCCCAACGAAGTACAAATTGTTATTGTTTTGAACAACACGGAAGAATAAAAGAAAATTGTCGAAAGAGTTAACTAATCTTTCTGAACACCATGAATTTATGATCTCTTTAGATTGATATAAATTAAAAGAATATTTATTTTGCAATTAGTTAGCTACTGAAGGGATTCTTATCCTCTATGAATGTAACAGGACATTGATGTAAAATCACACAAAGTGAGAAGAACTTTTTATTCTTACACTTTGTAGTTCCTTCTTGAGTGATTTTACTATTTGTAATTGTTGTTATGACTATTATAAAAGTTAGAGATTTGACGTGATGGGATTTTAACCTTTCGATAATGAATGCCCCCCGTTAAGTAGTTGTCTTCCTGCCGGGAAGTAGTTCGCCCGAAAAGTCCTCTTCTCAGGACAACGATGCCCCCGAGTAGGAATTGTGAAATATCGGGCCATTAGTAAATTACCCGTGGTAGACTGTCCGCCCCATAAAACGAAGGAAACTTTCCTTGGAGCCGGACGAAGAGGAAGAAGAAGACAAAAATAAATATCACCCCGGGCGGGTCATGGAACGAATTCTCTCTTCTCCCTTCGCTCTTTCGACCTGATCACGCCCCTTCTTAATTTCACCAATCTTTCTCAACAAATAAATCTTTAAAAAATATATATTAGAGGATTCACTTTTATTAAATTCTTTTCGAAATCATTACCCATAGAGGTGGAGTTGTTCTGTTTATTGATCCGCTACCAACGTTCTCGGTGGAATGTCTGATCGTATTAAGATACTCGTGTAATTATCAACTAAAATAATAGAGGCAAAGTGCCGATTCGAATGGAGCAAACTGGAGCGCCACCGCAACGCCCGCCATCAACCGGACTGCAATTAAAGTAATTGCCGTATAATTAACGCTCTAAGTTGTACAGGGGATTTCGGTCTGCAACAGTTATTATTGGATATAGCGGAGGTCACGGAAGGTGCGTTAAAATTATTAATTACCAGACAGGATCGATAACGTTTAACGTATAACGTCAAATTGACAGCTAAAGTCATGGTTTTCAATTGGAATCATTTAAAAAGATAATAATAAGTGCTGATGGGTGAAAAATGTTTCAAGTGCAAACGCAGACGATATTCGACGGACGAATTCGTAATCTCCAACAGCAGGTGTGCTTCGCTTGCTTTTCGTTTACCTTCGTCAACGTTATTCTTGTATTGTTACTCACCGTAAGGATTTTGGACTTGTTGAGTAGTAACCATATCAAGTATTGTAAACCGTTCACATCCAGGCCTTATAACTTTACCGGATGCGTCAGACTTGTATAATATATATTTTTTTAATTTGTGTATGAATACAATAAATAAATGACCAAAAAATGGGTGAAATGACGATGAGATTCTATGTAAGTGTATATATAATATTAAGGTTTTGAACTAAGAGATTTTTTCTTCTTGAGGTTTCGTACACTTTATCGCGTATAAATCCCGAGGCATCTAAAATAGTGTGCCGGGGTTAACTCTGCCCGGTTTTATGCCTTAATAAATTCCGTTATTACCTTAATAAGCCCTTTCAGCAGGCGACGCTTCCCTGAATTACCCTCTAGCAGTAGCGCAGCCGTCGCTCACCCCTCTGACCCCCGTATAGCCTCCATTGGTGGGTTGAATAAGAGGGGAACCCCAGCAGAAGATTACTTAAAGACGCGTCTCCACTTATGTATATATGTGTGCGGAGTGCATCGGTAATTGGGTACCCTCTGTACAAAGTAGCTACTATTAAAGTTTACGGCCGTTGCATTATCCAGACCTGAGCATAGAACGGGGGTGCACTTTTGCAAAACCCCTCGCCTTTTGCTCACATAAAGCGCACCGTAACGATGCACGAAGAATGGTTTCGAGTTATTGTTGCGAAATTGTCTCGAATAGATGACGTTCGCTCGCTCCAAGGTTAATCTCTATTATCTTTCGCCCGACTGCATTGTTTTCGGTACGTTATTGTTAGAAAACTTTATTCATTATATAT